AAGCAACTGTACTGCAGTTTTATTCTTTCCTTGAAGTCACCAGGACAATAAAAAGAGGGGAAAAATGGCGAGATATCATACTAGCTATAATTTGGCCGGTTAGTCATGACCTTCTCCCGTGGCAACTCTGGTTCTGTAGGCTCGAAGGAGTGCTTCATCAACATTCTAGCGATGCTTTTATTACTATGGGTATTCTTCTCAGACTCGCTCTGCTGAACGCAGACATTGTGCTGATTCATTCTGATTTCAGCTTGACTTTCGGCTGACGAATTCCCACTTCTTCTCTCAGCCTAGGAAATTGAAGAGTATGGGGCGATAGGAGGTAGCAGACAACCACTAGAGTATGGGGAGGTAAAGGGTAGCAGACTGCTGGTAGAGGTATGACACGATAGGAGGGTAGCAGACAGTTGATAGAATATGGAGAGATAGGAGGGTAGCAGACAGCTGGTACCTCCCTATCGCCCATACTCTCTACCAGCAGTCTGCTGCTGGTCGCTGGTGGACGCTGGTAGACGCTGGCAGACGCTAGATCGCTACCTATACTTCCCTAGCCCTCGAGACGCTGCTCGTAGCTTGTTGACGCTGGCAGACGTTAGATCATTATCTATACTTCCTAGTCGCTGACGCTGCCGGACGCTCGGAACGCTGGTGGACGCTACTTGGTCGCTGGTGGACGCTGCCGCAAAGTATTGGGTTGGCCCATAAGTAATGGCGTTTTTTTTCAACTGAAAATTTGTTGAAAAAATGAAATGTCTTGCAAGCAAGTTTGATATCATCTGATAGGAAACTTCTCGTGCTATAAGAATATTCAAACAGCTCCTAATAAGACAACGTAAATTTTTTTTGAACATGAAACACGTGAAAGAGGCGCCAAAAAATTTATTGCAAAAAACTCAAAAGACTCAAAAGAATCCAAAAGTTCTTGCAAAAATTTTTGTTTCTAATACTTCCTTCGAATATTTCGGTGCCTAGCACCTTCCTCAGCGATCTGAAATACTATAGTTAGTCCTCTGCAACCGAATCCCGGATCTGTCTTCAGTGGTGCCCGAACTGGACTCTGACCTGGTCTTCTGCCTCCAATATAGCCTCCGCCGCTCCTTGCAAAAGTGCGACTTCTAGTGTTGACTGCGACCCTACCCGTCATCCTCCCTTAAATAGTGAGGATGACTGGTGAGCGTCTCTGCATATGATATCACTGACCGCTCAACCATTATCATTACCGTAGTCAGTGAATCAACTGCAGCGCATCACGTAGCTCATCCCTACTATTCATTTCCGGAGAGAGCCTTTTTATTTCCAGTGCTTCTAATAGTTTTCTTTCCACTGTATTTTCTATGGAACGGTGTAATACTGTAATGGTGATTGCCGGAGGACCTTCGTGTATATGCATGGTGGTGCGGTGCTTCGAGAGACTGTTATCCGGGTATGAAGCCGGATTGTTTAGGGCCCTGCGGTGTTCATCTAATCGTTTGAAGAGTGGCCTTTTTGTCTCTCCGATATATTTTTGCCCGCATCCCTGGCATTCTATCAAATACACCGTTTCCTCGGAGTTGGCATATTTTTCTATCATTACAGTAAGTGCAGTTCCCTCGTCCGCATTTTTCTTCATAAGGCCTGGAGTACGTTAGTAGTCTTTTTAGATTTGGCGGTGGACGAAATATGAGCTGTATGGGGAGTGGTGAGCTTTTGACTATACTGTTAACTTTCAGTGCCGTACTCTCATTTAGATATGGCATTACCAAAGGAATGCCATCTGGTGTCGAGTACGGTCTCCATGTATGAATACGTGTATTGACGTATCCATTCTCCCCAAGAATTCGGTCCACCGTCGTATCTATTCGTTGCGACCGCTGCGTACATGTTCTTTCTTTTGTCTTGATTAAATTGCGAACTACGTTCGCTTTCATATATGAGGGGTGGCAACTTCTGGCGTGCAGTAATATATTCTTCGACGCCGGTTTCTTATACCAGTACAGCTGTTTGACACCGTTTTCAATCTTGACCCTGGTGTTTAGAAATGGGACAAATCCGTCCTCATCTGGGTTCTCCACAGTAAACTTGATGTCTGGATCCTGTGAGTTGAGGTTTAGAAGCGTATCTTCCAACCCCGATGAGGAAACCCAAGTTAACGATCAAACGTCATTTCGATGTACCTTTGGTAATGAATAATATCCCTGATGTTAGCGACCCGGCGGTACATCGATGACGTTTTCGTTATTGGTTCCTCATCGGGGGAGTTGGAAGATACGCTTCTAAACCTCAACTCACAGGATCCAGACATCAAGTTTACTGTGGAGAACCCAGATGAGGACGGATTTGTCCCATTTCTAAACACCAGGGTCAAGATTGAAAACGGTGTCAAACAGCTGTACTGGTATAAGAAACCGGCGTCGAAGAATATATTACTGCACGCCAGAAGTTGCCACCCCTCATATATGAAAGCGAACGTAGTTCGCAATTTAATCAAAACAAAAGAAAGAACATGTACGCAGCGGTCGCAACGAATAGATACGACGTGACCGAATTTCTTGGGGAGAATGGATACGTCAATACACGTATTCATACATGGAGACCGTACTCGACACCAGATGGCATTCCTTTGGTAATGCCATATCTAAATGAGAGTACGGCACTGAAAGTTAACAGTATAGTCAAAAGCTCACCACTCCCCATACAGCTCATATTTCGTCCACCGCCAAATCTAAAAAGACTACTAACGTACTCCAGGCCTTATGAAGAAAAATGCGGACGAGGGAACTGCACTTACTGTAATGATAGAAAAATATGCCAGCTCCGTTAAGAAGCGGTGCTAATTGATTAGGAGAATGTCACAGGGTAATGAGCGCGGCAAAAATATGATCGAGAGACAAAAGAAGGCCACTCTCTTCAAACGATTAGATTTATGAACACCGCAGGGCCCTAAACAATCCAGCTTCATACCCGGATAACAGTCTCTCGAAGCACCGCACCACCATGCATATACACGAAGGTCCTCCGGCAATCACCATTACAGTATTACACCGTTCCATAGAAAATACAGTGGAAAGAAAACTATTAGAAGCACTGGAAATAAAAAGGCTCTCTCCGGAAATGAATAGTAGGGATGAGCTACGTGATGCGCTGCAGTTGATTCACTGACTACGGTAATGATAAGATCATCATCTGATGAGCGGCTCATACTTTGATACTATCACTCATCGCATAGAGTACGCTCACAAGGTCATCCTTGAACTCTATTTAAAACTGGCAGAGGCGCGAATCAACGATGTACGCGGAAGTTAGCCTACTGTATTCCCGGAAGAGCCTGTTTTGGTCGCCGAGTCAACATTCTAGATAGTCGCCAGCTTTTGCTAAGCGAGCCGGCGGTAGGCCTATATTGGAGGCAGAAGAAGACCATGCGTCAGATTCCAGTTCGGGCCACCAGCTGAGGACAACGATCCCATCCGGGATTCGGGTTGCAGAGGACTAACTATAGTATTTCAGATCGCTGAGGAAGGTGCTAGGCACCGAAATATTCGAAGGAAGTATTAGAAACAAAAATTTTTGCAAGAACTTTTGGATTCTTTTGAGTCTTTTGAGTTTTTTGCAATAAATTTTTTGGCGCCTCTTTCACGTGTTTCATGTTCAGATTACAATGAGGCTCCGGGACAGCACCATATTACGACGGTAATAATTTTTTAGTCGTTGAAGTTGGAAGTGAAGTCGGCGAAAATTAGCATCTTCGACAGCTGCCTCTATTTACGTCTATTCGAAGTGCTAAAATCGCTTAAGGCGCTCTATAGATTTGATAGGTTGAGCTAGAAGTCCTAGCAAGGGAAATCCTAATAGGACGCTTCAGAACTGATTTCAAGAATTTTTTTGAAGTAGGCCAACACTCGCAGCTATTCGCTAGGATCATAAGTCATCGCTTCTGTTTCACTGCTACTGCTGATAGTTGGATGCTTCGCTTATGTGTTTTGTATGCTTTGGTAGCAAATTTTGTGCTCTATAGACCACTGCAATAGGAATCCTGTTCTTCATAGCTGTTTACTTTCTGTTGTTTCAGGTTATTAATACGGAATGTCAGGTCGAGAATCAGCATTCTCGACTTCTTCTCCCTACCGCTTTCCATGGGAGCTTCAAAGCCCCTGTATTCAGCGCAATATGATTGCCGAGGAGTGGGTAACATATAAAAAATTTGCCATGATTTGAGTAAAGCACTGAGTAACAGCTTGATATTAGGACGGCTCACAACTGATTTTGAGAAAAGCAAAACTGACAACGCTGACCTTGCAGACATCCAGTGGACTCATAGCTCGCGATTTTTTTTTTTTTGTTTTTCCATAGATGTTTAATTTTCAAACACAATGATTGAACAACACTGCTAAAAAAATATAAGATGTTCACAATAAACTAATCAATAATATAATCTCCATTGTTTCTTACAAACTTCTCCCGACGATCAGCCAGCTTTTCAATGCCTTCTCGGTAAAAATCTTATGGCCCTGACTCGAAGAAAGCGCATTCGAAAGGGATCGGAAAAGATGAAAATCAGAAGGTGCCAAATCAGGAGAATGTGGAGGATGTGGAAGGACCTCCCAGCCGAATGTCTCTATAGCCGCCCTGGTCATGTTAGCGACGTGGGGGGGGAGCGTTATCGTGCTGAAGGAGAACACCATACTGACGGTCGCTCGAGCTGGATAGCACTATTCAGCCGCTGCATTTGCTGAACATACAGTTCCGTGCTGATGGTTTGGTTCCGTTCAAGCAGCTCGTGGTGGATGATTCCTCTCCAGTCCCACCACACGCACAACATCGTTTTCCGTGGATGAAGTTCTTGTTTTGCCCGCGGTGTTGCCTGTTTTTGGGGCTCAGCCATTCCTTGCGCTGCTTCATGTTCACATACAAGCACCACTTTTCATCACCGGTCACAATTCGATATAAGAATCGTTGCTTGTGGCCATAAGTTAACTTATGGCGAGCAAGCTAGCGCAGATTGTGGTTCTCTGACTCCTACCGCTATCGCTCAAAGAGTGCGGAACCCAGGCACCAAGCTTTTGGGTCTTCCCCATCGAGTGCAGGTGACGCTCGATGGTGGTGTGGGAGCACTGCATAACCTGTGCAGTTCTCTCGTTGTACTTCGCGGATTCTGATGGACAAGATGGTTGAGGCGGTCCTCATCCAACTCATCAGGACGTCCGGTGCTACTCATTCGCAAGGTACTCATTCGCAAGGTCGAAGTTGCATCTTTAAAGCGTTGAACCAATTTTGGGCTGTTTGAGAGGGAGGCGTCTTCTCCGTACACTTCGCAAATTTCCCGAGCAGCATCAGCAGCTTTAATACCTCTGTTGAATGCGAAAAGGAGGAGATGTCTGAAGTGCTGATGCTTATCGACCTGACATTCCATATTACCAACCTGAAAAACAAGGAAATCAAACAGATTTTCAAAAAAAGTGCAAGCATCAAGCAGATTTTCAAAAAAAGTGCAAGCAGTCTTATAGACTAGGAGATTTGCTATCAGAGCATACAAAACACATTAGCGAAACATTCAACTATTACATAAAATTTCAAGTGGAACAGACGCGATGACTTGTGATCCTGCCCATTATCTGCGAGGTGAAGGTTGCCAACTTTGAAATTCTTGAAATCAGTTCTGAAGCGTCCTATTGAGATTCCCTTGCTAGGACTTCTAGCTCAACCTATTTCAAATGTATAGGAGCAGCTTAAGCGATTTTAGCACTTCGAATAGACGTAAATAGAGGCAGCTGTCGAAGGTGCTAATTTTCGCCGACTCAACTTTCAACTTCAACGACTAAAAATTCACAAAAATCATTTCCTCACCAAAGCTGTTTCGATATTCTTATAGTACGAGAAGTTTCCTATCAGATGATATCAAACTTGCTCGCAAAACATTTCACTTTTCAACAAAATTTCCAATTGAAAAAACGCCATTACTTATGGGCCAACCCAATATGAACGCAGCCTTATGTCTCACGTTCATCGGCTTAAAGAAGGCATGCGACTCCAAAACAGATTTGGTCATCGATCCCCTGGGCAAATGGGGTCTACATAGTTAGTAAGAATTTATTTACAACGAAACCATCGTTGATGTGAAGAATGGCGTTCGACAGGACGGCACCATTTTTGCGAAACTTCCCACCGCCGCTTTCGTGAACGACAGTCGTCAACCAAAATCGAAATGAGTGGGAGTGAGGGCCGAAGCCGGAAAATTGCATCACCTCCGCTTCGCTGACGACATCGTTCTGATAACGCAATAGCAAACGGAGCGAATGCTGGCCGATTCCAACTGCGCGTGTGGAAAGAATCGGTTTGCAACCGAACCATCTGATGAAGGCGACATTCATGAGAAAATGAATGCCGAATGTTGAATGCTGGTTAATTAAAAGTATGCTTTGGTGAACTGCCGCGGGCTCGGAACTGTTACCAGTTGTTTGATGAGCCGGAGGGGTGATGAACCCCTCGCTTGAGGTCCCCCTTGGTTTGTTCGCCTGGGGTCCCGGACGAATTCGTTCGTAACGGGTTAAGTTGTCAGCAAGCCCCAGTACTGTTCGTCAAATCCTTGCGTTCAGAACCAAGGACCAGGATCTCGCGGGGGACTCTTTCATCTGCCTGAAGGGGAAAACAGCCCAGTACACACGAGGAAGGTCCCGGTTATTTCTCTATTTCCGGCTTTCGAACTCAGCCTATTAAGCCTTTAACTAGATTCCCTATAACTTCTGTTTTCGCTTACTTTAATGCTCTACTGTCTTGGCGCGCTATCAACGGGTCTTGAGCGTTTCCAGATTGATTGTATTCTTTTTCTTATCAGTATACCTTGGCTGATATTGCACTAGCTTGTTCACTTTCCCTAACTTTACGGCGCCACCCTCGTCATCCGGGGCAGTGATTAGGGCGGTCGTCAACGGGCCGCAGCGCGTGCCAGGAACTATTTGCTTTTTCCAGACTAATTTAGTCATTTTTTCCAACTTTTCACTGTTTTGGCTACTTTTTCCCAGATTAGCAGCTCCTTATCTTCACAAGGTGGAAAAAATGACTAAATTAGCCTGGAAAAGCAAATAGTTCCTGGCACGCGCTGCGGCCCGTTGACGACCGCCCTAATCAACTGCCCGGATGACGAGGTTATTTGTGTGTCTGTGTGTGTGTTTGACCGGAAGATTACGTAATCTTCCTTTCAAAAACAGTCGACTGTGCCGCTCAAATCTGTAAGTGATGTAGCGAGGTCGGGCAGGAACCACTATTGGTAGGGGCAGCGAAGTGAAGAGTGATAGATACCATAGGGCCGGCGGCGTCTTAGAAAGCGAAGGTACCCAAGCTCCATACACGCGCGCTCACGCGGGACGCTGAGGACTTTGGTTCCAAGTAAGACCAAGATAGGGTACAGATGGAACATTATCGGTGGGTGGCAGGAATTGATAAAAGCTGATAAGATACCATAGGAGGTCTTAGAAAGCGAGGGTCACCGACTCCATAACGCGCGTCACAGCGACGCTAATACTTTGGTTCAAAAGCAAGACCTAGGGGACCAGGCATCGGGGAAACAATATACTGTGGGTGGCCAGGAACTGATAAGGCTGGGTATATAGGGCGCAGTCTAAAAAGCGATCACCGACTGCATAGCGCGCGTCACAGTGACGCTAGGTTAGTTCCAAGAGGCAGTATAGGGGACAGGATGAGAACATTATTAGTGGGTGACAGGAATAGATCACAGCTGATAAGATATCATAAGCGCTCTTAGAAAGCGAGGGTCACCAAATCGACACCAGGCCCAGCAACCGACGAAAACATTGGTTCCAAAGAAGTTAAATATTTAGGGGCAATTGGACATGAGTGAGTGGGTGGCAGGAATCGATAACACTTGATAGCATAGCCGAGGAAAATTACGAGCCAGTTTATAGCAGAACTGCTCCAGCAAGTAATTCAAAGTAGGTACAGTCCTCATCATTTGCCAGACCGAGTGGGCGGTGCGTGTGATCCTTCCGGCCTGTACGCTGGCAACGATGACAGTCGCGTCACAGCGACGTCACCAGGCACCCGCCCCACCGGTCTGCAATGCTGCAAGCCCACCTACTTAGCGGGAACATTAGAGGGGCGAGGATAAATCTGAAAGGCCGTCCGACGAGGGCTTTTGTAGTCCTTTCTGCCTCAAGCATCCACCGTAGCACATAAGAATGACATAGCGAATTCTTAAAGGCACATTCCGCGATAAAATAAGGCTATGACCTCTCAAATGTGTCGGACGATCCGGAAGGCGATTTTTGAGGCTGCGCTACTTTCAAAATGTGAAAAACGGCAAGAACTCCGCTAGAAGCTGACTAATTAGGCCCATGGACACCCCTTAGGCCCATGCCGACCCTCACCGGCTGCTAGCTACTAGCTAGTAGCCACTATGTTATCTTTCTCTATAACATTTCGGACTGCTTTTTCTGCTGCTTTTCTCCGCTAATCAAGAATACTATAGCAAAACTTTGTTTGTGCCTATTGAGTTTCCGTCTTCTCGCATATTGCGTCGCGAAAACTGTGCCTCTTAATGAGTCAAGATAATTTTCCCTTAGCAAAATCCTTAGTTTAGCGGTCAGAATTGCTTCCACCGCTAAACGCTCGAGTTCCCGAAAAAAAGATGTTGGTGAGGAATGATAAGAGCCACTGTGATTTCGATATTTTTACCATCGGAATCCTTCCAACCGCTATGCTGTCCGATTTCCTACGAATGGTGATATGAGCCTAACATTGGCAAGTGTTCATTAAAAGGGAGAAACATGATGAAATGGGCCGTTTTGGAAACACATAGGAATTAGGCTAAGTGTTACTGCTCAGCACAGAAATCCTGTCAAGTATCAGTAACATAGGTTAACCCTGCGCGCAGAAATGCGCGTCAGCCAGACGGGTGAATAAATAAATAAATAAATAAAATGAACATAGTTCTTAAATACCGCTTCTGGCTCACACAGACGACATCACTGACACGTTTCAGTGAATATGTTGTACACCATAGGTATTGCAAATTGCACTTCGTCGCGAGCGGCGAGCGCCAGCGCGGCACGAGTTTCACGCGTCCTCCTTCCATGCTCTACCAAATGGTCATTCAGAGCAATGTCGAATGTAGAAGAAATCAACGCCACTGGTGGTAAGGCCACAAGTGCTGGAAAACCGCTGAATTGCGACCCGCCAGACGCGGTGATCAATGAACCCTATAATATTACTAAGGATGTCGTTCGCATTGGTCTATCCTTTTTGGGATGCGGCACGCATTCCACTTCCATTCAGAGCGTGATGGCTCTTTGAATGCGTTGTGGCTCATACAATGAATTGCGGTGTCCAGTCGACGAACAAATATTCTTGCCCTCCTTTATGAATCTAGTACCATTACAGTCTCCGTAGAAAAGGCCTGTTGGCCTGGGCGGGAGCCGATGCGGGATTTGATCACCGGACCTCGCGCGTGTTAAGCGTGCCGCTTCCCTTTACACCACCTCCACCATGTATGTATCTGTGTCGGGCGGTCAACGTGAGGAAGGGGGCTTCGCTCCAACCGAACAAGAGAAGCAGGCGGGGTGCTAACCCACGCGGCTTGGGCCAGGAACGCGGACTCATCTGCTCTTCGGCTCCAGCTCCTTGGCAAAAACAGTATTCCGCTGTTTGCGTTAAAATCCAACGGAAGTCCTCCGAGGAGTAACCAACATATTATGTTTTAGGCATGATACAACACCGCCTATGGTGCTATATTCGAAAGGTAGAAAAGATGACGCTGAAAAGTGCGAAGAAGCGGTGGTAGGCCGGCAGATTTTCGCGTAAGCCTAAAAGGGAATCCGGCCTGTGTGAACTCATTCGTTTGTGTGAAAGTGACACTATCGAATATATTGGATGCTCCGCAAATCTAAAGAAAAAATATACTCCAGTACCTTCCTCCATGGATCGCTAAAAATGATTTTGAGCGTTCCTCACCAAAAATCCACCAGAACAGTTCACCTCATCAATTCTCTTCACCATCCTGCCTGAAGTCCATCAGCTTCAGGCTTTAAACATGCTGGAAATCATTAGTGGAGGAACGAGCAGAGATAAGAGTCTATCGCTCGCCGCGAGTCCCCCACCCCCCTCCAAACACACTTAGCACTAGCAGAGAATAAAGCGGAGCTTCCGAGAAAATTGAGAGAGCGGTGAAGAAAACGGGAACATTCGGTTCCGTGCCAGCTCACA